ATGGATTTTTTATTATTAAAGATTATTTATAACAACATGAAAAACATGACCAAACGAAATAATTTATTAAATTAATTAACACCGCTATTTTCTTTAATTTGAGTTTTTCGCTTAAATTTGATTATGTAATATAATAAGTTTTTTATGCCGCTCTATCCACAAAAAGTGTACTATTTAATAATATGTGATGAAAATTAGTAGTTGCCATTAAAACCATATACAGAGTGGCCCAACGAGAAGTATACAGAGAGCTTTTAGGGTATTAAATTTAGAAATTTCGAAAAATCCTCGAACACGTCAATTTTATATTCGAGGGGGACAACTTTTGGAATACAAATCACGAACCCAAGTCTTCACCCCTCTACGTAGGGAGCTTAACCCTAAAATTTTAAATGGAATCCTATGGCAAATGGCACATTATTTGAAAGCCAATTTAATCGTGATTACTAATCTGCTTTGCTTTTTAAATTCTATTGATTCGTTTCGGAGATATTCGCATTTGATCTAAGTCACCTTGTATTAAAAAAGGTTTAAATTGTGCAAAAAATAACAAATAACTTTAAACAGACAACATTTATTTCAATAAATGCTCGAATTGCCTTCCGCCTGCTTCCATGCAATAATAAAGATTTGCTTCAAAACGCTGCCGTACATGTTGGAAGATTTCAGGGGTAATCGCTCGAAATTGTTGAGTTATACCATAGTGTATATATTCTATTCTTAAACTATGGTTATACGTGCTCGCAACCCTTGTAATGTTCCGGGCGGAGTAGCATAAACTTTATTCTTTAAATATCCCCACAAGAAGTAATATAAAGGACTTAAATCAGGGGAAAAAACCATTTCAAATGCGAATATCTCCGAAACGAATCAATAGAATTTGAAAAGCAAAGCAGATTAGTAATCACGATTAAATTGGCTTTCAAATAATGTGCCATTTGCCATAGGATTCCATTTAAAATTTTAGGGATTAAGCTCCCTACGTAGAGGGGTGAAGACTTGGATTCGTGATTTGCATTCCAAAAGTTGTCCCCTTCGAATACAAAATCGACGTGTTCGAGGATTTTTCGAAATTTCTAAATTTAATACCCTAAAAGCCCTCTGTATACTTCTCGTTGGGCCACTCTGTATATCCACCTTGATCATGTAGAAGTTACGGGCTCAAATTTTAAGTATGTTGGAAATAAATCTAACCGATTGTATTTGCTCAACTTTTTATTGTTCAAATTTGAAAAGTTCATAAATTTTCTTAATAACCGATTTTTTTTATGCGACTTTTTATATGACAAAAACTGACTCTCTTTTACTATAAGAACACAATTCTTTCAAATACGTCTGCCTCCAACATCTTTCCACCATCATTCCTCCATTTATACTAACCATAGTCCTCCTCGACCCCCTGTCGTGATCGAATATATTCCCTTATATCTCCAGGACGGATTGTCGAAAGAGGGTACTCGCAAGGGGAAAGTGGAACGTCAGGACGAGACATATCTATTGGTGATGTCAAAGCTTTCAATGCAAATATCTGCACAATGGAGTGTCGGAGGATTTTGAATGTATACCTACCAAGCGGCCTTAAAATGTTTATTTTTTTTATTATTATTATTATATTTATTACACCCATCGAGATACAAATTAAAATACCACCATATTCTAGTCCATAACTTTTGATTGAGACGTCCGATCGAAACAGTACGAATTGTTTTGGATTCTACGCACCAAAATTAATAAGAAAAAGTGTTTTCCCGAGAAATTTTGGTGCAGTCGATTTTTGGTGAAAAGTACTTTCTTTATTTAGGGGGCACATCACGTTCCTGATGCACCAACACGCTGAAAAGCTTTCCATAGAGTCTTTAGATTTGTGCCATGCTAAATCCATTAATATTCTTTTCTTTATCCTTATGTGTAAAGAGCCTCCGCCCCATTTATCACCTACCAAGAAAGTAAACAACGATAGCATGCCACTACCTTATAACTCAACAATTTACTAAGCTATTTCGGTTTAAAAAATGCGCTTTATCTCCACATGAGTTGTTCACAATTTACACTTGTTTTAAATAGAACGGTTACTTTTGTCTGTAATATTCTTAAAGAGCTTGAAATTCTCTTTAGAATGAAATCAAATATGTTATAACCTTTGAAATTAAAACTACAGTAATGTGTTTAATACCAGTCGCAGTAGCTGTAGAAATTTAAACAAAAAGGAAGCGAAGAAAACAAATGAGAAACAGTGTCAAAGATAACTATTATATATAACTTAAGACAAATTTAAATAGATTACACTATTGCTTCCTATGCATTATCATTACATCGAATAAAAACCCTTAACATTTTTTATCATTTGTGTAATTGTTATTTTGTTGCATTGTGGATTGTAACTAGTTTTGTGACAGATATGATAGTGAAAAACTCTCTTTTGTTTTTGTCCACAGTTACTGCTATTGGTTTTAAACGCATTACTGTAGCTTGATTTTGTAAAGTAATTATAACTGATTTGGTATTTTGGTATCATTATAAATAGAATTTCAAGCTCTTTAAGGATATTGCAGAAAAAAGTAACAGTTCTAGTTTTCTGATGCTCTTTTGTTTTTATATCATTTGTTTTTTTTTTGGAATATGTAGTTTTATCAGAATTTGAAAGTAAGAGTATTTTTTTACACTTTTTTTTTACACAATCAAAAAGAATTATTTTTTTGTATTCTTTTTTATGAAGAATGACTTGTCCAATATCCTAAAACTGTGATCTACTGGACGAAATAAATATTCTTATTATTATTATTGTTATTAATTTTCTGAAGTGTGATTTGGTAACCAATTTGTGGCCCTTTTTGTCTACTGGATATTCAAATATTGTACAAGTAGAGAAATAATTATTAGGAATATAAAACACATTGTTCTGCTTTATTTGGTACTTCCGGTTCTCACTTTCTGCAGGAATCTTGTATTTTTGGTACTGCTGGTTGACACTTTCGGTCAAACATGGAGTCATTTGAAAGATAACAACTTAAGACCTTCTGCAGGGGCACCTCTAAAAAGCATTCTGTGGGTCACTGTGTAATTGGGCGAAAGCCTGTTGAGGGCCCAGAACAAGAAATAAATAAATAAAAATAAAAAGATAATTTCCTTTAAACATTGATATGCCACACAAAAGAACATATATGAATATTTGTTATACGCCAGCTGCCCCTTGCGGCAGTCATGTTGAATTCTAATTGTGACCCCTTAAACGTTGGAATTCGGGGTGGTAACATGGTTTTTTGGAACCATGTTACCAACTTTGACAAACAAATTCCCTTACCTCCATTTATATCAACAAATTTGTAAAATCGTACCATCATATTAACGTGGTTAGTTTTTAAATTTGGAATTTACGATGCCTAACCTTATTACATGACAATTTTCCACCCAAAATTTGTTACGTGGCAAATTGACTCGACGTATTTCTAAGCAAAACTTTTGACGAAAACGTCAAAATGTAATCGGCTATTTTTATGCACTTGGGTTATTTAACTGTTGATTATTTACTTACTGACAACAATTATCAGTGCAATTTAAATCTTCCGATTGGCAGAGGCGTATAAAATCAATTAAAAAGGGCAATGACAAGCGATGATTAGGTGATCTGATAAATGGTGAGAACAATAAAGGCCGGAGATTGGATCCCTGCGGCACTCCGCTGCTTGCAACATCAGATGCAACTTTGTAGACAGCATCATCTACACAGTTCTGCAATAAAATGATTCTCTCATATGAATGTTTGATTTCCAATGCTGTAGTTTCGTTTGCAGAGTTTATTAATTAAAAGATCGTTGCGTGCGACTTGATTCGTCAAATTTTCACTAAAAACGGTAAAAACGCAAGAGTTATTTTTAGAAATTGGCAGATTTTGAGTCTGCGGCGAACTGGTAAGATTGAAAGTGTCTAATTTATTGAAAAGCATACCGCTCGTGTAACTAGAAGTCTTTACCGGTTATTGATTTATAATCTTTTTCACAATTTCCTTAAGCCGCTTTAAAAATCATCCACCGACGGCTCCTAAATACCTGAACGACGAATGTATTAGTATATCCCCAAAAATATTTATACAACCTGGCAAAATTTAAATTTTATCATTTGAGAGAATGACATCTGCAAGTTTCTCACACCCCTGCAATGACAGCAATAACAATAAAATGGGCACCTTAACTAAAGGTATCGACTAGCGGGCGGTAAGTTAAATACATCCACCTGTGGACCTATGATCACTACCGTCATTTAAAGGGTATTGGAAAAAGACGTATGTCTATTCACCTCTCTCTTTCGTTCGGTTGTACCGCTAGGTTCAAAAAATAACTGGACGATGTTGATTTCATTGTAGTAAACTTTTACGTTTATGAATGAGTAGTAATATCTGGTGGCTGAGAGTGAAGTGAGTGCATCGAAAGTGTATAGAAAGAACATCCCTTACTATGAAAAGTATAGAAGTGTTATACATAAAAGCAGGTACTAACTTTATTAAACTATTTTAATTACATATTTGCTCAAAATTATTATTTCAATTCTACATAGAATCATGGACTGATTAATAACATGGGTACTTTTGTTTGTTATTGCTATGCAACAATTCATCTTTACCATAGCCACCTCGCGAACAATGTGTCATCATATGCAATTTCAGTGTGCAAAGTACGCTTTGGCCACTCGCGGGAGTACTGCGACTTTACACCATATAACTATTCTAAAATTAAAGCATGCTTAATTATTTTTCGTTATTAAAATAGGAGGAGATACTTTGCTACTCCACCGTAGGTACCCACCTATACAATTTATGATTGTTTCGCTTCTAATATGCAAAAATGAAGAGCGGAAAATGGCGGCCGTGATATATTCAAGTGTCTCATTTGCCATCCTTAAAGAGGACTCATATTTACATATCAAGTGCGCACTTTAACATTTAAATATTGGTACGCTCGAGATTGTTTCGCGGATAATAATTCGGCGTTTGTTTTCTTTTGCAGTTGTTTCAAAATTGCGCGGTGCTATGAAGGAGAAGAGCAAAAACGCGGCGAGATCGCGTCGAGAAAAAGAAAATGCCGAATTTTTGGAATTGGCGAAATTGCTACCGCTACCCGCCGCAATCACCTCACAGTTAGATAAGGCATCGGTTATAAGACTGACGACTTCATACCTGAAAATGCGACAAGTATTTCCCGATGGTAAGTGCAGGGTAAATTTGATACTATCTATTTTGTATGCGTGTAGTTTGTGGTGGTTCTTTTATTGATAGTTAAATAAAACTTGGGCTACAAACGTGGTTGTCGTACAATGAGATGAAATACAGCGGTAGAATATAATTGCTTCTTAATTCGTTAAGAGATAAACATCTTTTTATGTTGTGTTTGGTCCTCATACTCATTCTTATTTTAATTCGGGCTGAACCTCGTCCATTGTAAGTTGCAAGATAAAACATTTTCAAAAACTCTGTCAATGTATAGAATCAACGATTTTTCTCCAGATTAAAAAAAATCATTTCGAAAATTCGATGCAACACGCCAAAACTTTTTCTTCTATAGATACTAAATTATGCCATTAAGGGTAAAACGTGCCTTTTGTGGATCGCAAATGCTAGAAAAGGTGGTAACAATAAGGCATAAATTTGCTGTATTGCGTATAAAATTGTCTTGAAACTTCCGCATTAAAACTGTTGCCATTCAATCTTTAAGAAACTGAAATCACTTTTATCTAAAAAGTTATTTTAAGCCCAATTTAATTGTAAAATGTTCGAAAATTTATTGCTTTTGTACAGGGTGAGTTTTTTATTCATTTTAAGCATTTGGGATCTCGGAAACCGTTTAAGACATAGAGATAAAAGGTTAAAAGAGGAAAGGAAAGAGTTATCATTTTAAAAACTTATTCAAGATATGCTTTTGTTTTTTGAAAAAATCCACAGTTTACTAGATAACAGATTTAATGATTCTTTTAAATGTTTTAGAATCGTTAGTTATAGCATTAGATATACAGAAATATGCAAAGAACAAAAATTGTTCAGCTTAACAAGATACATTTATTAATTTTCATTCTTCTATTATAATTTTCGAGTTATAACGTAAACTTAAATTTTTTAAATAGCAACCATAGTTGGCTGTGACATTTTAAAAAGTGCATTTTTTTCTGATTACAGTGATACAAGGTTCGTTGTACTTACTTCTTAATTACTCAGTCTATTACAATATTTAACTTAAAACTTTATAGGGTCACCAATAGAACAACAACAAAAAGAAATTACGAACTATACAGGGTGTTTTTTTGGGAGCTTTGGGAGTAAAATATGTAGGTTTTTTGAAAATTTGTACTTAGGAGTTACTCTGAAGGCGGAATCGATGTAAAATATTTTCAAAATGCCCGCACTTCCGGAAACGGATAGTAACTTCGTTATTTTAAATAGCAACCCCTATTTTTTATTGCATTTTTGAATTCTACGTGAAATTTCAGTTGTTTTGATACCCATATGTCGATCTGCCATTCATGGTTTTTAAGTTATTTTGACTTTAAGAAAAAAAATGGCGGATCCAGATGGTACTTTGATAATTGATTATTTGAAAAGGGTTGTAGTCATGGCAACCCATTTTTATCAGTGCCTAGAGAATGAATAGGGCTTTCTTTTGTGTACTTAAAAAAAGTTAAGTTGCGTACGACCGCCCCTATGGATATCCAAATTTATGAAACTTCAAAGACTAAAAACTCAGTTTTTTTAAGTAGAATGACCATGTTCTTACTATTCCATGAGATAGAGAATCGAAATGGGCATATTTTGACAATACATGTTCTTATAGCTATCTTTAACAGTTTCTTACTTATTCCCATTTTATTGAATTGACACTATTTTTTTCGGATTTTCTTTTTAGTAATCGGCCATGATTTTATAACAATCGAATTTTAAACAAATCTAGTGACACCAATCCGTCACCTACTGTTATAGGTTAACATAAGTTTTAAAAAATCGAAAAATGTCTGGCAGTGGTTTCACCTATTTTGGAATTTAATTGTTATTTATGGTGAAATGGACAGAATCGCGGCACTTGCTTGCCGTACATTCATTCGAACACTGGAACGAAATTGTATGAATTTTGGACATGTTGTACCCCCAAATGCACTACAAACCGTTGAAGCACAAGTGATACAAAGCTCTACAAGAGAATATTGAAGAGAATGAATTGAATTGCAAATGCAAGATTAACAAAATAAATTCAATGCAAAATATAAAAAACTTCGTTGAAACAGTTTTGGTATGGAATTGTTGCTAGAACAGCTATCGCATTACCTCTCTTAATTTCCAGACTTATGCGTTGTTTCAGTTGAACGACTCTGTCTAGATTTTTCAAAAATTTTCCGTCCTATATCCTTAACAAAAAACTTATTTATTAATGAATCATTTAGACTAGAATCAATGATATTAACGCATCCATTCCTTGATTTGTTTAAAATTGGATTGTTATAAAATCATGGCCAACTACTAAAAAGAAAATACGAACAAAATCGCATTAATTCAATGAAATGGGAATAAATCAGAAACTGTTAAAGATAGCTATAGGAACATGTAATATCAAAATATGCCAATTTCGATTCTCTATCTCATGCAATAGTAAAAACATGCGGTTGTATGCAACTTAACTTTTTTTAAATACACTAAAAGAAAGCCCTATTCATTCTCTAGGCGCTGATAAAAATGGGTTGCCATGACTATAACCATTTTCAAGTAATCGATTATCAAGGTACCATCTGCATCCGCCATTTTTTTTTTCATAAAGTCAAAATAACTTAAAAACCATAAATGGCAGATATCGACATATGGGTATCAAAAGAACTGAAACTTAACGTAGAAACCAAAAATCCAATAAAAATATGGGTCGCCATTTAAAATAACGAAGTTACTATCTACTTCCGGTGTTTCCGGAAGTGCGGCCATTTTGAAAATATTTTACATCGATTCGGCCTTCAGAGTAACTCCTAAGTACAAAATTTCAAAAACCTACCTATTTTACTTTCCCAGAAACGTTTAACTAAAGCTCCCAAAAAAACACCCTGTATTACATTTAAATTTCTACTTTGAAGTAATTACGTGTAAAAAAATTAATCTCGGAAAATGTTCAAAATGTCCATCATTAATATTTATACACAAATGGCATCTTGTCAGGATAGAATTTACAGCTTTCCGTATTATCCTACCATCTAAATTGCGAAAGGCATTTGCCACAGCATCACGTAGTTCTTTTTTGTCGCATACGTTCGCTGATAAATTAAATCCGTTTAGAACACCGAAACGAAAAAATGTAAAATTGAAAGATCTGGCCCAACGACCGACCAGTTCCTACCTATCCATGAATTTGGCAATAGTTGGTTTAGGTGCTCTCGTACTTATAGTTGATTGTGCGGCAGGGCACCGTTGTGTTGAAACTAACGTAAATTACATCGTGTTTCCAAATGTACTTGTCCTAGGTATCTTGAAATTCATTTGCTAGAAAATGAAGAAACATGTCCAATTTTCGTCGTAAGAATTCGCGATCCAATAATTCCGCACCAAACATTAAATCCAAGTTTTCGCACTTTAACAATTTGGAATACGCTAATGTGCATATTAACTAGGTAATCTACAGATTGCTACTAATTGAAAGTAAATTTCGGACTTCTGCCGATTAATCCGTCAATATGCACATTAACGTTTTTCTAACATTGACGGTAACATATGGAATTTCACTTTCATAGTGAATTTTCGAAGATGGATTTTAAATATGTTAAATGTGTCACATCAGTTACATTATCACGTATCTCACTAGATATTGGAGATATTGTTTTTCATGGCAAAGTCTGTTTACTTAGGTACCTCTCAATAATACGAAAATTCCTGTAACGCGTTTTATTAGAAAGTCTTATATCGTTATAAAGAGAAAAAATTGTCCTTTTTAAAAATCTCAAAGTCACTATACCACCATTTAAAAAATTAAAGTTTGTATTATCACTAAAAAAATATAAAAGGAAATTAGTATATGTTCATCATGTACGCATTAAAACATCTAAAACTTTTGTTCGTGTCATTTTGTCTAATAGGTAATAACGATTTTACAACAGTTAAATGAAAAACCACTAAATCTGTTTTTCGCTAATAGGTATCTAGTAAGCTGTGGATTTTTTTCAAAAAACAAAAGCATATCTTAAATAAACTTTTAAAACGACACCTCTGTATGTTTTATGGTTTTCGAGATAGGTACCAATGCTTAAAATGGAAACAAAACCCACCCTGTATATTCCAATTGAAGTAGATGCATACCTTCTATTTCACAACGAACCATAGATAGATAACAAAAATAAAAATTGCAAAAACACGACCATTACGGTACCTAGTTAATGGAAAGTTTACCTTAGTTTTAACCCCCGCACCATCAGCTACCACCACTAAAAGTTACAATATGCACTCTCCATCGAGTTACACATCATTTTAAAGGCCATAAAATTCTCTTCACAAAAATACAACATACACAAAATACAAAATACATTAAATTTGGATGAACTGATAATGAATTAATTTTAAAAAAACAAACATAAATACAAAATAAACCTCTAAAGCGGATCTAAAAAAAGCGGCAGAGCACTTCGATGTGACCCTATGGGGTTATTGGATTTGACCCATTTTTAATCGAATTGTTACATGTGGTATACAGTGTGATTGAAAAGAAAAATGTGTAAGAAATAAAAATACTCTACATAAAGTTACATATTCAAAAACAAGTGATATAAAACCAAAAGAGCATCAGAAAATTAATGAATTTTTTTTTAATGGAACAATTACTTTTGCCTGTAATATTCTTGTTTGAAATTCGCTTTACAATGATATCAAATATGTTATAATTACCTTGGAAATTAAAGCTACAGTAATGTGTTTAGAACCAATCGCAGTAGCTGTGGAAATTTAAACAAAAACATTAAATTTACAACAGGAAGCAAAGAAAACAAAATGAAAAGCAGTTACAGAAATAATAATTATTATTACATTAAATTTAAATACACTAGTGACTCCTAGTGATTTAAGCGAGCTCTAAAATTTTAAGCTTGTGATATGAAAAGCTCCTAAACAACTCATAAATTGGATACCATACTGTAATTGCTTCCTATGTATTATCATTACATTACACCTCTTAACATTTTTTCATCATTTGTGTAATTGTTATTTTGTTGCATTGTGGTTCTTATAAGTTATATTGTTGTGTTATGTGACATATATGACAAATGGAAAACTCTCTTTTGTTTTTGTTTAAATTTCCACAGTTACTACGATTGGTTTTAAAAACGTTACTGTAGCTTTAATTTCTAAGGTAGTTATAACATATTGTCATTATTATAAAGAGAATTTCAAGTTTTTTAAGAATATTGCAAAAGTAACCGTTCTATTACAAAAGAATATTTTGTTTTCTGATGCTCTTTTGTTTTTATATCACTTGTTTTCTCCGAATATGTAGTTTTATCAGAGTTTGAAAGTGGAGTATTTTTTCTATCTCCAATAATAAAGGAAAGATACGCTTGGACGCACATCAAAATCAATCACACTGTATAGATCAACTGTGAAAAGTGTGAACCGAATCGACCCAAGCATTTGGCAATTATCGTGTTCAACGACCGACAGACGAACACCATCGACTCCCCTATAAAGCTTCCATTGCTCTGCCGCTTCAATTCGACACAATTCCTCTTCCTCCGTTCTCGCCTTCATATTGAAAAAACCGAACAAAAATTGGAACTTTCTTCAGATTCTCGCTCATAGATTCGTTTCGGTGCATTTTAGCTAGAAAAAAAGTTATACTCAAAGTTGTAGAATGTAGATAATTAAATTACCTATAATTTACTGATGGTTATGATGCCGGGCATACGCCCTTTTTAATAAAAATTTAAAAAATTGAATTTTCAATTTGAGGATTTTGATATAAAGCTTTTTCCTACGACCTCCGTTAATTTGGAAATGAAAATAAGGCAAAATCCGAAATAAATTAACCAATACTTTTTACATAGTACACCTCATTTTATTGCAACCAATTACAGAATTTTTGGAAGTTGTCCCCGTCCCGATCAATGCACTATCCCTCCAGCCGTTTAGGTGTTCAATCACAGACACACGTACAGAAAAATTTTATATATAAAAATATGACTATTTTGAAAAGTTATAAATGAGAGGGGACCGTTGATTATCGTTAAATTATTTATTCTGTTGCCACGTTTTGTTCGTTTTTATACATAGTTACTATTTCCAATCAGGTATTTTTTTCCCACCCGCACGTTAGTAAGGGAAGTATTGATTGGGGTAAAAAACGCCCCCCCCTCACTTTTTTTACGGAAATACCCGAGCAACACTAGGATACAGAATCAAAGAAAATCTCGATGATGTCGGTCTGTTTGTCTATACTCTCATTTCCGGCTGAACGGCTGCACCGGTTGAACTAAATTTGGTGCACATATTCTTAGACATAAAAGGAAGAGCTGAAAAACTTTTGGGCAGAACATGCATGCGCAATGATAGTGTTTTTCGGTTGATTATTTAATATTGAAACAATGAAAAATAATGTGTACGTTTGTTACAGGTTTGGGAGATGCATGGGGCGCAGCACCACCTGTAACCAATTCCAGAGAAACTCCCATTAAGGAGTTAGGTTCATATCTTCTTCAAACGCTAGACGGATTTATATTTGTCGTTGCACCTGATGGAAAAATAATGTACATATCAGAAACAGCCTCCGTTCATTTGGGATTGTCACAGGTTTGTTTAATTGTTCCTTTGCCATTTTCTTCTTAACACGTTTGGTTGGTTTTTGTTCAATCGTTCATTAAATTGGAGACCTGTATTGTTCTCCATTGTGTCAATGAAAAAACATTTTATCTAACGATTGTGTGCTGTCTAAACGTGCGCCATAGCTGAATTTCCTGTCCTACCGATGTCAAAATTATTTTAGAGCAAAATTGTATTAAAGTTCTTTGTAGAAAAAATTTTTTACGTCAATCAGCCGTATTAGTTTTCAATTTTTTGCATAATAAAGACGGAAAATTGGAAAAATAAAACCCGCATCTTTTTCAATAATCTGTGATGCCATGGAATTTTATAATACAAAAACTACGCCAATATCCGTCATGCCATGGAATGTCTGCTATAAAACAAATCAAATTCTATCAAAAAAGTATTATATTTAGAACAGCGAATTCAACATAAAGAAAGACCAAATTACTAAAAACGGTTTCCTAATATAACAATTTACAATAAATGTTCGAATAAGTCACCATTAACTGCAAGACAGTAACCAAGTCGATCATAAAATCAATTTCGAACTGCTGCTAATTGATAACTGGATATCTTTTTGTTTTAGAAAATTCCATGGCATCGCAGATTATTGAAAAAGATGCCGGTTTTAAATTTCCAATTTTCCATCTTTATTATGCAAAAAATTGAAAACTAATACAGTTGATTGGCGTAAAAAAATTTTTTCTACAAAAAACCTTAATAAATTTTTGCTCTAAAATAATTTGGGGAGCCAATAATCGCATGTTATGAATTTTACATTGAAATCCCTATGATGCGTTACGCAAGTCACCACCCTGTATATTGTGCACAAGGATTTTCTTTGCGACAATTAAACATCATATTAATGAAATGATTTGAAAGAAAAGCACCAATTTGTGATGATTACCGAACTCAATAATACACTTGTTAATTAATTACTAACAAATTGTTAGCATTGCCTAAATAACAAAAATCATATAAAAATGCGCTGCGGACAGGATTCGAACCTGTGCGGGTAGAACCCAATGGATTTCAAGTCCATCTCCTTAACCACTCGGACACCGCAGCTGATACATTCCGAAATTTTTGGGGTGTATACTCTTATTTTAAAATACATATACCAATTGAGACCCTCTAAGCAATATTCCGTAAAATATAATATTTACAAGTGGAAAACTTCATTAAATCTACCCTACTTATGAGTACTACAACAGTTGAACCATGAAAAATCACTAAATCTGTTTTTCGTTCATATCTAGTAAACTGTGGATTTTTTTTTAAAAAACAAAAGCATATCTTGAATAAGCTCTTCTAACTACAACTCTTTTCTCGTTTAACCGAATCTGTATGTCTTATGGTTTCCGAGATCCTAATGCTTAAAATGAAAAAAAACTCAACGACACCCATAAATATTGCTATAGAGATAGACTGCCAGTGCAATATTTTTAACCTTTTAAATAAATGTCTTAATAGTAAATGGTAACTTGGAGATACTGAATTCTTTGTGCCGTTGAAGGCACATAATCTGAAGAAACATCAAAAACCACTAAAGAAAACGAAGTTTTTCGACAGTAAATCATTCAAAGGCTTAACATAGCAATACTTTGTAGAACAATCTTGGTGATTTCTAGAGCATTTTGAACACACTCTAAGAGATTTTGAGAACTTTTCCGTTTTTTTAAACCTTGTTCAAACCTTGCTAGACCGTTAGATTGTTCTGAGCTCTAGATCATTTCCAGACCCTTACCAGAGCTTTCTAAGACAATTCCAGATAAAAGACCTTCCTTCTGAAGGAAATACAGGGTGATTTTTTTTCATTTTAAGCATTGGGATCTCGGAAACCATATATAACAGACATAGAGATTCGGTTAAATGAGGAAAGAGTTGTCGTTTTAAGAGCTTATTATGCTTTTGTATTTTTAATAAAATCCACAGTTTACTAGATATGAGCGAAAAACAGATTTAGTGATTTTTCATTTAATGGTAGAATCGCCTATAGAATCGTTGTTATTAAAAATACAACAAAATGACACGAATAAAAGTTTTAGACATTTTAATGATTAATCTGATGAATATGATGTTGTGTTATAATACAAACTTTAATTTTTTTAAATGGTAGTCATAGTTGCCTTTTTATTGCTTTTATTTTTGTTTATAGTGGGCGGAGTGTTAGCAATTTGCTACTCTTCCCACTCAACCCACTATACAATCACAAACAGCCATGCCTTACCTGGGATTCGAACCCAGGACCCTTGTAGCCAAAGTTAGAGCTTCTAACGTAAGCTATTCTGAGCTACGCAGGTCGGCGTTGGCTTTGGCATTTTTAAAAAGGACACATTTTTCTCTCTATAATAACGATATAAGGCTTGCTAAACGTACTTTAATAAATAAAGGCGCTGCACTTATAACCTTCCTTTTTTACCAAAAATCGACTACACCAAAATTTCTCGGGAAAACACTTTTTCTTATTAATTTTGGTGCGTAGAATCCAAAACAATTCGTACATTTTCGATTAGACTTCTCAATCAAAAGTTATGGACTAGAAACCAATTTTGAAAGAAAATTCAAAGGGCTGTAACTTTTGAACTAGTAGCCCAATCTTGGAACTGTTTGGAATTATGGATTCTACAGGCCACATTCTATAAGAAAATTTTTTTTCCGGGTCGATCTGAGACAATTTTTTTTTCGGGGCTCAAAAAAAGGCAGTGTAAAACCTTCCTTTTTTACCAAAAATCGACTGCACCAAAATTTCTCGGGAAAACACTGTTTCTTATTAATTTTGGCGCGTAGAATCCAAAACAATTCGTACTTTTTCGATCAGACTTCTCAATCAAAAGTTATAGACTAGAAACCAATTTCGAAAGAAAATTCAAAGGGCGGTAACTTTTGAACTAGTAGCCCAATCTTGGAACTGTTTGAAATTATGGATTCTACAGGCCACATTCTATAAGAAAAATTTATTTCTCGGGAGAACACTTTTTCTTATTAATTTTGGTGCGTAGAATCCAAAACAATTCGTACTTTTTCGATTAGACTTCTCAATCAAAAGTTATAGACTAGAAACCCATTTCGAAAGAAAATTCAAAGGGCTGTAACTTTTGAACTAGTAGCCCAATCTTGGAACTGTTTGAAATTATGGATTCTACAGGCCACATTCTATAAGACAATTTTTTTTCCGGGTCGATCTGAGACAATTTTTTTTTCGGGGCTCAAAAGAAAGCAGTGTATAACCTTCCTTTTTTACCAAAAATCGACTGCACCAAAATTTCTCGGGAAAACACTTTTTCTTATTAATTTTGGTGCGTAGAATCCAAAGCAATTCGTACTTTTTCGATCAGACTTCTCAATCAAAAGTTATAGACTAGAAACCAATTTCGAAAGAAAATTCAAAGGGCTGTAACTTTTGAACTAGTAGGCCAATCTTGGAACTGTTTGAAATTATGGATTCTACAGGCCACATTCTATAAGAAAATTTTTTTCCGGGTCGATCTGAGACAATTTTTTTTCGGGGCTCAAAAAAGGGCAGTGTATAACCTTCCTTTTTTACCAAAAATCGACTGCACCAAAATTTCTCGGGAAAACACTTTTTCTTATTAATTTTGATGCGTAGAATCCAAAACAATTCGTACTTTTTCGATCAGACTTCTCAATCAAAAGTTATAGACTAGAAACCAATTTCGAAAGAAAATTCAAAGGGCTGTTTCTTTTGAACTAGTAGCCCAATCTTGGAACTGTTTGAAATTATTTTTTTTTCGGGGCTCAAAAAAAGGCAGTGTATAACTGCAGGAATTTTCGTGAGAGGTAAATAAACAGAGTTTGCCATGGAAAACAATATCTAGTGAGATAGGTAATAGTGTAACTGTGGCACATTTGACATATTCAAAAGTCATCTTCGAAAATTCACTATGAAAGTGGAATTAATAATCATATTCATTACACTATTAAAAGTAGATCGTATCATATGCGAGATCATATGCCATGGAAATACTGCTGTTCATTCTTGAAGGCGTCAAAGAAAACTTGGATTTAATGATTGGTGCGGAATTATTGAATCGCGAATTCTTGGACAGGCCAACGTTATCTTCATTTTCTACCAAATGAATTTCAAGATATGTAGTATGGGTTAGATTTGGAAACACGACGTAATTTACGCTGGTTTCAACACAACGGTGCTCCGCCGCACAACCAACTACAAGTAAAGGTACGAGAACACCCAAACCAACTATTTCCAAATTCATGGATAGGTAAAAACGGGTGGGTCCTTTGGTCACCAAGATGGTGTTCTAAAAGGGTTTGATTTATCAGCGAACATATGCGACAAAAGAAGAATTACGATGATGCTGTGGTAAATTCCTTTCGCAATTTAGATGGTACGATAATACCTACAGAAAACTGCAAATTCAATTGCGAAAAGATCCTGCTTGTGTGTAAATATTAATGATTTTGATAACATTTGCCGAGACAGATAAATTTTTGACATGTAATTACCTACTTCAAAGTAGAAATTTATTTGTGTCCCTAAAGTTTTAAGTTAAATATTATAATTGATTGAGTAATTAAGAGGACTAAAACGTTTCCCATGGCAAACTCTGTTTTTACTACTCTCAAACCAGTTCTGTATAATGTTTATTTCCCAAAGTAAGTACAACAAACCTTATATCACTGTAAATGGAAAAAAATGCAGTTTTTAAAATGTCATAGCCAACTATGGTTGCCATTTAAGAAAATGTGAGTTTGCGTTATAATTATAAAAGAAGAATGAAAATTAATAAATGTATCTTATTAAGCGCAAAAAATCTACAATTTTTGTTCTTTGCATATTTCTATTTTTCTAATACTAACGATTCTACAACATTTAAAAGAAAAATCATTAAATCTGTTTTTCACCCATCATCTAGTAAACTGTGAATTTTTTTCAAAAAACAAAACAAAAGCATATCTTGAATAAGCTCTTAAAAAGCTTACAACCGATGCTTAAAATATGATATTTAAAGCCTATCAAATGGGTCTACACAGTATTAGGTATTTAATTCCTATCATTTTGTCTGAGTGCAAGGCAAAGTGGTAGCACTGGTAGCCTTATGGAGGGATCGTGATGGCTCAATCTCCCTACAAAATTTGGAAAAATAGCTAACAATAATTATCGAAATGTGTATACCATTACTTTAGAAAAAGCTTTTTTTTCTCATTCTCGTTCGGAAGTAACTACGTAATACGAATACCTATCCTACTGCACTCTTTTTTCATATACATAGAAGTAGTCAAGTAAAGGTATATTATTTAATTAATAAATTAAAACAGATTAAAGAATATCTACAAAAGTTGCGGTCATCGTAGGTACATATTACACATACCATGCATAAATCGGGTTCATAGGAAGCTTACGATAATAGGAGTAGATAGTAGTTAACCAAATATTATAAAACGGGTTTCTAGATCCCCAACTTGCATAGGTACCTACTGTACTTTTAGAAAACACTAAGTATTGTATAGATATAAGTATCTGTCTTGTGTACCTATACACCTACCTGCATCCGGAATATGCAACAAAGAAGTACCTACCTTTTGCTTACTTTTAAAATATGTACCTACCTATTTTAAAGGCCTTTGTAAAAATCGTTTTACCACAGTCTACTGGACTGGGACTTTTGAACTACTATTGAAATGCACGTAAAAGACTAATAACGTTTGATATAATTATGTCTTCATTAACTGTAAATACACAACGACCGAATGGCAGGTAAAATTTTCCCTGTCTAAAGAATCTTCCAGTCAGAAATTAATTCGCACTAAGAAAAGGGCGCATACAATCGATGCGAAGGGGTGTAATTTATGTACCTAGTAAAGAAAACGTATAGGTATTCGTGTTTCTATATGAATCTATTTTTCAGGTAGAACTGACAGGTAATAGCATATACGAGTATATCCCCCCCGCCGATCATGACGAGATGACAGCGGTCCTAAGCCCGTCGATGCCGCCTCCTGGAACTTCGCCCAACCAGGACTACGAAAGCGAGCGCATCTTTTTTCTGCGCATGAAATGTGTGCTCGCCAAAAGGAATGCGGGCCTTACAAATGGAGGATACAAGGTTGGTCTTTTAGATATACACATAATTGACTTTGCGCTTAAGAATACCTACCCTACCGCCGATGTAATCTATTAAGAGGAACGGTGACGCGTATTTTAGTTCAAATGTACCTAAATCAACCTCGCAATTATTAGGTAGGTGGAAGTACCTTCCTACACTCGAGGTGGAAAACAAAACAAAATCAATATTTAATGCAACGTCTGAATAATGGCGACGGATTTATTTAATACTTGTAACATTTCAGTTATAGGGTAGAGGTAGCGCTTTCAGTTATATTCGTAATGCATTTCGGTAAAATTGAATAGATATCTTCGTATTCTAGCATATTTATTCATTTTAATAACAATGCGTCGAGATTTTTAACAAATATTCGCAGCCCAACTTAAAGATGGTGCTATACGCCTTAGCCACTCGCGCGAGTGCGGCGACTGTACAGTGTACAACTTGCTTTTATTAGAATTGTTGAATAAATGATAAAGAGATAGCGAGTGACGAGGGTGTAGCTTCAAAAATACTGCAAGCAGGAGCGGATTATTTAAGCACCTACGACCTGTTAATAGACCCGGTGGTACCTAATGTATGCAAAAATAGTTTTCTCATTTCTCAAAATTGCCGTAGGTACAATGCATTTTCAATTAGATATCATTAACTGTAGCCTATATGTACCTATCCATGGATAATTCTTTTAATTTTTTTGATTATTTCAATAATTGTCAAAAAAAGGTTTAAAAAATCGACCCAAAGAACACGGGGTGCCCCACATCAAGAAACTATGCCTGAGTAACTTTGCGCACAAACGCGCCCTTTTACAAAAAATTAAATATAATTATGCATTTATTATAAAAGATATCAAAACAGATAATATGAAGTTTCTCTCTTTCATGGGAAAATCTCAAAAATGATGTCAAAATGAAATTCAAGATGGCGGTTACTGATATTTTTCTTAAATGGGTGCCATATTTCATTTTCACAGGGTTAAAAAAAAGAATATCTACTAATTTCACATATTAATCAAACAGGCCGAGATCATATTTTTGATCACTGTATAAGTTAATTAAATACTTTTGGATGGCTAATCATTAAATAAAGAATTTTAAAAAAAACATCTTTTAGTCATCCAAATATACCTCGTCAACATACTGACTTTTGAAATGGTTAAACAGTGTTTATTTTATTCTTTATTTATAATAAAAGTTAACCTATGATCGACTAAAGAATGATTAATAACTCGGCCTACTTCATTATGATGTAAAAATAATTAATTTTACTATATTTTTTATTTAATCATAAGATATCTGATATTTCTTAAAAATAAAATAAAAAAACTTTTTTAATCCAATATGACATACCTGTACATTGAAAAAAAACAGTTATTAATATATCGGTATCCGCTATCCTGATTTTTATTTTGACATCATTTTTAAGTGTGTCCTGTTAAAGTGTGAAACTGATTTTAAACTTTTTTCATAACTTATAATTACAGAGATATTTAGTTGTTTTTAAATTGGCGTTTGTCGGTTTGTTTAAATAACTTTTAATATGATTCGGTTTTTAAATTCGATAATGACAAAGAACCCACACTCGATGTGAGGCATCCTGTATGTTTAGGAAGTATTAGAAAATAGCCAAAATTATCTCGTGACAGTCATGACGAATGTGTTTTCAGTTCAGTATTACCTAACCGTGGCCGATTTTTTAATTTTTTTGCATTATTTCAAAAATTCTCAAAATCTCTTACAGTTTCCGAGATCCCCATGATGACCTTCGAATTTGAATCAGCCTGTATATTTACAGATGTACATACAGGGTGTTCATTTCAAAACTTCTCACTATATTTCGAGATCTGTGTATTTTGTAAAGGAATCCCGAAACATATCGACAATGTTATAGAGGGGGACAACTTTTTATTAAAAAATTGACTCGCCCCCTTTCACCCTTTGTTCCCGCGGGAGATTTTTATTTTTTAAAAACGACCGATCCGTTATTGAGATGTTTAGATAAATAATTTTACATTTTTAAGGACCCAAATATGCACAGTTAAACAGTATAATTGTATTTTCGTTGTTTTTATTTATTGAATTCATTTTTAGTGTTACCAGTTGAAGTAATTTAACAAAAAAGGTTTATACTTTAGGTGAGCCGAAAATCAATGTGCTCGGCAAACTGGTGCAACGTTTAACGAATACAGGCATATGGATAAGGTATGTCCTAACCCTTATTGCAAAATTTACTGAGACTGGATCTGTCGCAAATTTAAAACATGATTTACTACGAGTTTTAAAAACCCGCTCAAATTGAGAGATGTGAAATGATTGATTTGAAAACAATCGGATCAAAACTGTAGATGAAAATAGGAAAAAAGTGAAAAATCACCACGTTTGCTTAACACGCTCGGGGATGGCACCCAGATGTCGCTGACCTCACATTATATATCCTCGTCCCTAACGTTGTTAATTACACGGCCCCGGTAGGTATGATGAATGATCACTTGCCCTTATACAAAGCCATTTTAAAACTATAGGTATTCACAGAAATTAACAAGAAATCGCCGCCTGAACTGGAGGTATTCTGAACCTCCAGATAGGTACCTTCTTGATTGGAGAAGGTCCCGCTAATTAACAAAGTATTTCATTTACTTTATGTAAGAGACTTCGGAATGTTATTTTCCACAAATGGGAAAGGAGTGGAGTTGCTTTTAAATCTACTTGAGTTAGTTACTTTTGAACATATCAAATTTTGTGTTAATTTGAAGTCAGATTTAAATTATTCAAACTCAAGAGCTACTTCCTCGGATTGTTAATTTTTGTATATTGCAAATATTTCTGCAGATTTTTCACCTATATTTACCCTCCGTGAACAATGGTTCAGAATTTTTTTCGGACTGTAATTGTAAACTGTAAAGAAAGGCAGGTGCATGGCCCTTTGTAAATAAAACATTAGCCAGCATTTGCTCTTCCTTTAGTAACGGAAAATATGAATTTTCTGTATGGAATCATATACAATCATATTGCGCATTAAGAATGAATTCCTTGAAAACGTTACCATACAAATCCTAGTAGCATTAACTGATCAGTAAGGAAATAATGAAATCAATGATCGAGATTCGTACCCCGCCCCCCTCCCCCTGCGCACGGGGGACGAATCAGACCAATCTCATCTGAAAATGATCATACAGAAACATTCTATTCATGGTACAAATTTGATACTATTAACCCGAAATGGAGCGGTGCACCTCTACTAATATTAAAATTAAAAAATCTTCATACCAACTGTATAAAATAATTGTTTCTCTACAAATTCAAAACAATGCATAAATATCTTACCTCTTACAACACGTTCCAAATGATAATTTGTTTTTTCGTAAAATAAGAGGTTCCCATCTTTCCTGGTAGTTTAGAAAAAAATATACACAGGGTGCCCATTCTGTATGGAACATAGTATGTATCTCTGTAAATATCGAATGTATAAAAAATTTTCTATATTATGAACGTTGTTTGACATTTTATTTCCCATAATGAGGCAGCATTCAGTTGTTTTTATTTCAGAAAACAAATGAATTACGAAAAACAATTGATTGGCAGTGCACCTTTTCATTAGGCTAATTTGATAGAGATTTTTTTTCTCATTTCGATGATATAACATATTAGTATACCCTTATTCAAGAAAATTTTTCAAAAAAATTTATTACACTTAAATCAATAACATTAATCCAGAAATCATACATCAAATAAAACAAATGAACGTTTCTTATTAAACCTTGAAAACAACACGAAATTAGCAGTAAATTAGTTTTCATTGCAAAATGTTCACCATTAACTTCAAGACAGTGGCATAACCTATCACAAAAACTTAAAATAAAAATTAATGTCTATACACGGGTGCTAACGTGTTGCTTTCGTCATTGAAAAGAGAAACAAAGTCCCTATCAAATGAGCCTAATGAAGGTGTGCATTGCTATTTAAAAAAATTCAATTGTTTTTCGTTATTCATTTGTTTCCTGAAATAAAAATGCAAAATTCGCAAAACATTTGTGAAAAAGTCCTAACCGGCTAAATTCTTTTAGGAATAAACAACAGTTGTAAATTATATTGCACTTCGGTTTCGGTGCTTTGAGATTAAAACAGCGTGTCACTCTTTCTTTCTTCTAATAATCCTTTACCTTAGTGGGTACCTGCCTGACATAAAATACACTTATTCAGAAATTTCAAGAACATCTATAAGAGATTCCGTTAATCTGGTTGCATAAAGGAATTTGCATAAATATAGGTCGGTACCGCAAATACCTAGCAAGCATCATAAATCGTTATTGTTAAAAAATCCTGTCTTGGGAGATGCAAAATTTAATTGGTACACACTTTTTAATGAGACTACTGCAGTGACAAAGAGAGTTTTTTGTAACTTTGAAGTATAATTTCATATTAGTCGCAATGCAATTTTACAAAACAAGCAACAAGTTTAATTTTGGAATCCCTTACGTGCTTGAATTTTCGTTACCTGATTCGTGTGAATGTCTAACGCGAATTACACTTTTTGGATTTTTTATCAAAGTCATTAGCCAATGGTATGCATTCTGTTTCTTTCTGTAAATCATTTCATTTACCATCCAAAACAAACTTCATCTGATTAACGAGGTTTTGCAAATAAAACTGATTTCGTACCAAACAGCACTCAGGAGGGGTAATGGCTATTTCTTTCATAATTTTACAAATAAAATGCTGAACGGTAACTATAAAACTTGAAGTTTCAATCGTGTACCTAAGCAAAATTTATAATCTTGTACGGAGTGTTATTAGAATAATAAATATAGTGCAATTTTACTACTGTTATGTCTAAAATTTCATTAGTTTGTCATAACAAACGGTTAACAGCCACCCTATAGAAGTTTAAAAGAAAATATCTCTATACCGTAGGTATAATAATGTCCAAACTTGAACGATAGATAAGCATCTCTCTGGAGGAAAGATATACAAATGGTATAAACCTGAAGGAGTCTACAACAACCCCAAAATAGAAACAAAACAAATAGAGAAAGAATTTCAATAAATAACAAAAGTTTGACACTCGATTCTCGCATA